TGGCTTGTGTTGGGGGAATTTAATGTTATTAGAGGAGTTCATGAATCTGTGGGGTGTTATGGGAGGAGAACAATTGCCATGGAGGATTTTGATGAATGCTTGCAAAGTGCTACTCTTGAAGACCTAAGATATTCTGGACATTTTTTCACCTTGTGCAACAATAGACATGACTGTGCCAGTGTTTGGAGGAAACTGGATAGAGCACTTGTCAATGAATATTGGCTCCAAAAATTTCAATTTTTAGAAGCTGTGTTTTTGCCTCCTGAAATTTCTGATCACAACCCAATTTTAGTGAGGATTGGTCCCCAAAAAGTGAGAGGTAGATACCCATTTAAATTCTTCAATTTTTGGGCTGAAAGGGAGAATTTTCTTTACATTATTGCCCAAGTTTGGAGGGAGAAGGTCCAAGGTACTCTTCAATACCAAGTGTGCACCAAACTAAAGTAGCTCAAAGTCACTCTAAAGTTTTTGGGGAAGGAGCTGAGGATGTGTCTATGAGAACTAATGAGGCCAGAGAGGAGCTTATTAGTTACCAAAACCAGCTTGTTTTTGACTCTCTCAACACCACACTCAAAAAGTAGGAGGAACTCCATATGCTCAAGTTCACTAAAGCTGCCAGAGAAGAGGAAAGTTTCTATAGACAAAAATCTAGAGTCAAGTGGTTACAAGAGGGGGATAATAACACTGCCTATTTTTTCAAGTCTCTTACCAATAGAAGAAACATGAAAAAGATCATTTCTCTAAGAAGAGCTGACGGGTCTCTTACTTGTAATGAATTTGAGGTGAAGAAGGAAGTGGTTGATTACTACGCTCAACTTCTTAGGGTTCTTTCCCAACTATGGATTCTTTTGATGGGAAGGTCTTGTTGAGTAGGGTTATTCGAAACAAGATTTCAACAAATTGCTCCAGGTCCCAATGGCTTCAATGTACAAGAAATCTTGGTCTGTCATAGGCCAAGATATCACAAGGGCTGTTGTGGAATTCTTCTCCTCTGGCAGGCTCCTCAAGGAATTCAACACAACAATTGTTGTTCTTGTCCCAAAGGTCCCTAATCCCACAACTCATGGGGACTTCAGACTCATCTCATGTTGTAATTTTGTTTATAAGGCTATTGCTAAAATCATTGCAAATAGGATCAAGGTTGTCTTGCGGAATATCGTTAGTAACAACCAAGCTGCTTTTATACCAGGGAGTAAAATTGGAGATAATATTCTTTTCACACAAGAAATTCTGAGGGACTACCATAAGATAATGGGACTCCCAAATGTGCTCTTAAGGTTGATCTCATGAAGGCTTATGACACTTTGAACTAGGATTACTTACTTGATATCTTTGGAGGCCTTCGAATTCTTCCCTTTTCTTAGAACCTGGATCAAAGCCTACATTTCTCCTCCCAAATTCTCCATTAATCTTAATGGAGAACTGGTTGGATTCTTCTCCAGTTCCAGAGGCATTAGACAGGGAGACCATCTCTCCCCTTATCTCTTTGTTATGGCCATGGAAGTTCTCACTCTCTTCAACCATCCCCTCATCTCTACTTGTCAGTTTTTTAAATTCCACTGGAGATGCAAAAAGATTAAACTAACCCAGCTCGTTTTTGCTGATAACCTCTTCATTTTTTGTTTTGGGGATAACAGGTCTACTAGATTACTCAAGGAAGGCTTGGACTTGTTTCAACATATGACTAGTCTTCAAGCTAACCCCAAAAAGAGTAACATTTATTTGTCTTATGTCAGCAAAGAGGTGAGGGTCTATATAAAGACGTATTTTGGTTTGAGGAAGGTGAATTGCCTATCAAATATTTGGGTCTTCCTCTTATTCTTCCAGGCTTAAAGCTACCCATTGTTATTCTCTTCTTGAGAAAATGGAAGCTACGATCAATAATTGGACCAATCAGAGCTTGTCTTATGCAAGAAGGCTCCAATTGATTCATTCTGTGTTGTTTAGCTTACAGCTTCACTGGGCATCTCATCCAAAACTTCCCCAACAGCTTCTTGATAAGGTTGAACAACTTTTAAGAAGATTTCTGTGGAAGGGTACTGAGCTCACCAACTCTGGTGCTAAGGTTGCTTGAAGTGATGTTTGTAAGCCTAAAAAGGAGGGAGATTTTGGTATTAGGAATCTGAGGCAGTTTAATGATGTTTTAATGCTTAAGTATTTGTTGAAACTTTTTACGAATAAACAGAATATTTGGTGTATGTAGATTCATTCCTATCACTTACATGGTGAAAGTCTATGGGAGGCAAAGCCACCACAGTCTAGCTCTTGGAATTGGATCCAAATGCTCAAGCTTAGGGACCTCATCAAACCTCACTTGGTGCATATTATAGGGAATGGTTCTAATACTTCTCTATGGTTCAAAAATTGGCACCGTAATGGGCCTTTATTGGGTGCAAGGAATCAGCACATCTTCAAAACATCAAGACCTCCGAAGGATGCCAAAGTGTCTATGATCATAACTAACAATCAATGGGCCTGGTCTATGTTTAGATCTAGGGTCTTGGATGATTTCAATCACTCTATGCCCAATTACTCACCGGATTTCACAAAGGAAGACTTTATCAAATGGATTCCCAAGTCGAATGGTAGGTTCACCACTGAATCTGCTTGAAACATAATTAGGACCCAAAACCCTAAAGTTCCTTGGTACAAACTGGTCTGGTATGGACATCTCATATCTAGAATGAGTCTCATTCTTTGGTTGGCTATTAGAAATAGGTTAAGTTCAAAGGATAGGATCTCATCTTATGCACCACAGTTGGGCATCACTTGCTCTTTGGGTCATCAACTCCCAGAATCTCATCATCATTTGTTCTTTAAATGCTCCTATGCTTTTGGTATTTTGACTTGGCTGATGCAGCAATGTATCCAGCATCCTCAAGCTCTCCAATGAAATGTCTTCATTGTCTGGGCAAGTGATAATTAGAAAGGAAAATCTTTGAAGGTTGTTCTCCTCAAGCTTTGCCTCTTTATCACTGTTCACAACTTATGGAGGGAGAGGAATAATAGGATTTTTAACAATCGAGTTACATTTCAACAACGTTTACTTTTCAGGATTCAGACAACTATCAGAGAAAGACTTTCTCTTCTTAAGTTCAAGGCTAATCCTCAAAATCTGCTCTTAGTGCATCATTGGAATCTTTCCTTTGTTTGTCTTGTTTAAGTGTTTTTGTGCTTTGCTACTGCCCAGGGATGGGATTAGGGGGGAAGCCTTTGTTGGTTGTGCTGATCAATCATCCTTTTTTCTATACATTAATTCCTGGGCTACTTGTTGATTGGAGGCTGTCTGCTTGTTGTTTGTTGTTGCTGGGTTGTTGCTTATTGGTTTGAGCTTGCTGGTTGCTCTGAGAGCTAATCTTTGGTGCTGATTGCTTTATGTATGTGCTAGCCTTCATGGTTGCAGGTGACTAAGTTGTTGGTGCTGATTTTTGCTATTGCTTGATACTGTTGGCTTTGCAATGATGTTGATGTTACTACTGCAGTGCTGAGGAAATGGGCCTATTCATGTCTCCATCACCTAGGGAATTCTTTCCTTCCTATAACGTGAGGTGATTAAGCTTGGCCCAGCTGTTTGCCTAACTAGATTAGAAATGTTATGGTCACTTGGAATCTCACCTCATATGGCTTGCTAATGAATCACATTAACCCTTGTTCTTTGAGTTTGAGTTCTCTAGCCGAACTTGGACTGCTATCTTGCATATCAGTGGTGTTAAGGGGCAAAATTGGTCCTAGTTCGATTTTGTTGATCGAGTTTGATGAATTGGTTTCATGCTTGGACTTTTGTCAACCAATGTATTCTTTTGTCAACAAATCTGTGGGAGATGTTCTTACTTAAGACATCTTTTACAGACTTGTGTTTTAAACTTTGACTTTTTGGGTTTTTGATGTTTGTTTTTGAGTCCTATGTGACTTCATTGTATAATTTATGAGTGATTATTCTTGTATACATGTTTTATTTTAATACATTTCACCTTTTGAAAAAAAAAAAAAAACTCTGGTGTTTGTGTGTTTTGGGGGGCAAGCAACATTGATGTTTGTTAGTGTATGTAATCTCTCTCTCTCTCTCTGTGTCTATGGGGGTTGTATGTGTATCCTAGATGTTGGTTCTGTTTCTGTTCTGGGAAATTGATATAATAATTGGTTTCCAAGGTTGTAGGAATTGCATACTTACACGTTTCTTGGATGTGGACTTATCGGAGTAGTTGTTTATGCTCTCCAAAGGCTGTTTAGTAGGCATCAAACTCAACTGTTTATAGGAGGCAAGCTTGTTGTGTGCTTCCACCTTTTCCTTTTTTCCGTTAAATTTATTTATTTACATTAATATGCGAGCAAGAAACCATAATAAAACTCGAATCTATGACGTATCCAAAAGACAACCGAGTGCAGACTTCCATCATTACCGATTTTAATGAGGGTCATTACCGATTTTAATGAGGGTCAAATGTGCGTAGTCTAACTCCATACAGAGAGCTTGTTTCCAGGATTTGAACCCCTTGATGCCCATATGATAATAGAGTAATTTTGTCGCTACGTCAAACTCCACCCTTGAATCCATGACGTATTTGAATGATTAAATAACAATGGTGTCATACGAAGTGGCATTATACTAGATTTAGGAGAATTAATCGTATACTTAAATCCATACAATAGTAATACCCGAGGGAAAATGTCTACCCAAATCTTAAGAACTCCTTCCTAACCACCAAGAAGTAATTTTAGGTAGAACAGCTGCATACTGCTGCTCTTGGTGGCAATAGAACTATCGAACTAACATGTACGTAGTCTCACCTCCATGTATCTGCAACATGAACAAAATTACCTTAATCACCGTGAAAGAATTGCCTAATTAGCAAGAAATCGGTATGGACAAAGCGATATTAACAGCATACTAGTAATCACTAATGAATTAGCAGTACATGTGAGTATCTATAGAATATATGGTATACATGTACCCCTTTTCGGTTAATGAAATTACTTACCTACCGAAAAAAAACGCGTACCTAATAGCTACTAGTTGGTGGTATAGCTGCATACTGTCTATCCACAACCTCAATCAGTTTGTTGGCTATTGCAGTGGCATACACAGATGAACCTTCAAAAATCTGGAACATGGAGAAAATTATACCAAAATAAACTAATAATACTGTGTGCTCTTTCGGACTTCTCTTCGATCGCCCCTCTGTGGGTGCTTTATCTTCTACTATAGATGAATTGTGCCAAGATACAATAGTTAATTCTTCACAGTAATAATGATATAGTACTAATGTCTGTATATTAAAAATGCTAAGAGAAAATTACTGATGAAATGAAGCTTAGAGTGTTTTATACCTTGGTGTTGAAAAGAAAACTGTAGTTATCACCAATGAGTCCACCAGCAACATGGTGGAGATCCAACTGAAGCTCATCGAGGGCTTTTGACACAAACAGCAGACAATTGATCCTCTTCTGCTGAACTAATTTGATGGTCACTTCATCGTGGATGATACGAACATCAACCTCGGTGTTCTTGAGCTTCCTCTGAAGCCATGAGCTCCTTAGTGATGAGCCATTGTTGGCCTGGTCTTGAGCACCGAGAGGCATCGTATTAGTACTCTCTACATCCCCCGTTTCATCTTCTGTCTTGGGCCTCTTGATCCTCTCTCTGGCACATCTCTTCTTCTCCACCAGAATCTTGAGCTCATTGACTGTTCTTAGGAGTTCTTTGATGTATTCTATAGCATCTCCCACTATTGATGCTCTATCATTCTTGGTTGTTCTCCCCCCAAAAGAATTCAAAATTGTCAAACAAGTAAAATTAACTGACAAAAATTTGTGCATTTACTTAATCAAATTTAGGTAATATTTTTGTATTATATTGTAAGCTAATCCAGTGGAGTTAAAGATGTTAGTAAGTATAAAGGCAAATCAAGCACAGCGAGAGAGAGAGAGATTGCAAGTGAATACCTTGGTGGGGTTGGGAACCAAATTCCTCAAAGCTTTGTACTTGTCATTCAAGTTCTCTCTCCTTTGTCTCTCAGTGACAAAGTGTTTGGTATCTTTGCCATCTCTCCCTTTCATATCCCTAGAGAACTGCAGAACTCCACTGTCAAAATGCCTCCCATCCCCATCTTGGTACACACCTCCACTTGCCTCTCTCTCATCCACCACCCCATTGAACAAAGAACCAATTCTCGAGTCCGTGAAGTTAAAACCATGGGGTAAAGACTGAAGCAACTCCCTAAACATTGGAGGCTGTGGTGGAAGGTTCAAAGGCAGCAATGGGTCATAGAAAACATTCGAGGCTGCCCCACCCTCGGCTGTATTAAGGTCCCCTAGAAAGCTTAATGAGCTAGGAAAATTCGCGGAGCTCAAGGAGATTGATGCATTGGGTAGCAAAGAGGAAGATGAGCATCTAGACAAGTGAAACAGATTGAGGAGGTCTGGTGTTGGAGGGTATGGGGTTTCAGGCAATGAAGAAGAATTTAAGCCTTGGTAAGGTCCATTTTGAATCTCAACTTGTTGGAAATTATTTGGGTCTTGTTGGTGAGGATAGTAATTGAAACTCATGTCTTGCACGTCATGGACACTGGTGTTCCAGTTGGGCTGATCAAACTCTAGTTCTTGCATCAAATGGGTGTCACTGTGATTGGTGGTGGTGGTGGTGGTGTAGCAGTGTTCCACCTCCATACTCAGTTGTTGTTGCAGCTCTATCTCCGGGGCGGCTCCGATGGCGGCAGAGGCATCTTCTTGGGGATGATTGTGGGGGTAACACAGTTCTTCCATGGAAAAAGGGGTGCAGTTTGGCACATGGGTTTGAGAGAAACCATCCTCAGCTAGCCCTTCTTGCAGAGTGTTGGGATCAAAGCAAGTACTGTCCACATACATTTTCAAGATCACCAGACTGTTGATGTTTATACTTTCTGATTTTCGTCTGCAACCAGATAAAAAGTTACCAAAATGGAAAACCAAAAGTGTATGAATTAATAACAAAAAATAAATAAAAATTCAAGAGAATTTCATGAGTCTGCTAATAGGTGGACAAAATGAAAAAACCCTAACCTTTATTCAAGATGAAAACTATCAGGTGGTCTTTGTCTTAAAGATTGAACCTGTTGAAACAATGCATAACCTTCAAGCAACAGAATTTGTGTTTATAGAAACCCAAAAGAGATCACCAGGGTAACAACTTAATAGCCATAAGGACAACCACTACATCAAGACTTTCAAGATTTGTGGAGAGAGAGAGTTTACCCATGGGATTTGCAAATAAAGGTAGGTTGGGTTTAGTTGGGCTGGCTTGGGGGAACTAAAATTAAAGAACCCCATAAAAACCCATGACATTCAATAGGGAAAACTACACTGTTATCCCTTCGAGTTTTATTAAAATATATTTTATCCCATATAATTTTAGAAATTAAAATGAATCACATACTTTCAAAATTTGGTAGGTGACACGACTAACAGAAACGCTTAATTTGAATTTTTTACCCTTAGTCATTTTCTAAAACATTAGAATAAAATTAGATTAAGTAATCTATCAAAAAAAATTAGTTTAAGTAAGTTGTATAGAGTTACAGTTCTCAGTTTCTAGATTCCTTCACCTTCCAGTATTGGTCAGGTGTTAACACCCATATATGATTTTATGACTTTGTAATGACCTTTCTATCATTACTTCTCCAATGGTACAAACTACTATGGCCATGCCCAATTAAGAATCTTCAATGATGGATTGACCCGTCGTACCCTTTTTTCATTAGTCAAAAAAATAAAAGAGGGGGACAACATTTTTTTGTGGTTCTAACGATTGCCTCGTCTTCTTAGAGTGATATGGCCACCATAGGCCAGCTCGTCTGTAGGGCTATGATTTGGCTATGATCAAACCAGGATTGTTGAGAAGAAGCATGTCCTGCGTTTCTCAACCTCCACAAGGGAAAATCAATGTAAAGAATGGCAGAAATAGCATGAGAGAGAGATCCACTTGACAAATTTAAACCAAGTAAAAGTCATATAAGAGTCATGTCATTTTGGTTAGGTGTATGAGAGAAATTGATAAAGAAAAAAAAAGATGAAATAAGAAGTATCTGGATGTATAAACATATACCTATAACATATGTAATGCTTTGACTAGTTGAGAGACCTGATTTAGAGATCTAAAGATTTTGTGCGCCTAGTCTCTTGAGTTGTGAGAGATACATCTTAGTCTTTTATTTTGTCAACTACATTGTCAAGAGCTCTTTTTTGATGAGATTTGCTATTGGTATTCGGCTGCTTTTTGAACTTTATTGTAATATCTTATTCTTTTGAAAATAAAATTTATTTACTAACCGAAAAAAAGAAGGCAAGTCCAGGGACCAATATGAATTACTTGTCCAACCAATATATAAGATTATAAGATTACAAATTTTCTTTTCTTTTTTTTGGTATTTCGGTCAGGGGTATTCGAATCAGCTACTTACGTGTTCATCTCGACTAATCCTCTTCCTAGTTTGATCAAAAACAAACTATACACGACGAAATTAGAGAATTTAAGAAAGATAAATCTCTCATATCTTGGTCTCAAGAGAGTTGCTAAATTTTAAACTCAAAACATATGGGTTATAGTTCGTCCCTCACTCCACTAAACACCCACTTGAGATTACACCAATTTTTTCTTGACATCTTTTTTATTTGAATTTCAACCACCTTTCTTTCATTTCGTATATATCAATACTCGTTGTACCCATTTAGGTAACATTGATACATGGGCCAATCATTATTTATAATACATTCAAAGGAGACCCATTATATACAAGTGGGTCTATCAGAAGAAATTTGCTGTGAAGATATTAGTTTGATCATACCAATAGGTGTTTCATTAGGAAAGTGAAATCCTAAATAAAATTTACCATTAATAACATCTTGAACTAATTATTTTGAAGTAAAATAATAGAAATATGACATAAATGTAATAAAAAATCTGAAACAACTTAATGAATTTAAAGAGAAAAATTAAATCTTAATCTTAATTTTCTCTTCCCTTTATGTAAAAATAAATTCATCTCCAAGTCGATGGGAAGGAGCAAGAAACATAAATCCATATACTAGTTGGGATAAGTGTACGATACCGGGGAAAAAAATATTTGGTACCGTATCAATATTTATTATTTTTGTAGATATTTTTAGAGTAAATTACACTTTACCCCTTGAACTATTACCTTTGTTTCACTTTACACTCTTAACTATAAAATTTCTCACATTATACTTTAAAGTATCAATTTTATTTCATATCACTTCAATAGATAACAACAAGCATGAAAATCTTTCAAAGGAGAGAGAAAAACTTCAAAGAGCGTCCTGCCAAATGTCTAGTAATACAAGCCACTCAGATGCATATTTACCATAAAAAAATTGACATTCACTATCAATTGGAGTGATATGAAAATAAAATTGATATTTTATAGTGTAATTAGTTATTGTCTATGCCTGAAGGCACAGAGTAATAAAAAATTATAAACAATAAATGTATTTGTATTCATATTCAAAATCAAATAACAAATATAGACAAGAGATAAAAGAATTTAAGCATCAGTTTACAGTAGATGTGAGAGGTGGTGGGCAACAGTGGTGGTGGTGGGAGACGGTGATAGTTGTGGTGAGTGACAATAATCGTGGTGGTGGAAAGGGCGGCGACAACGGTGGTGACAACAACAACGATGGTGATAGTGGTGGTGGTGGCGATGGTGGCAGCAACGGTGGTGGTGGTGGTGTGGTAGTGGCGATGGTGGTGGCAACGGTTGTGGCGGTGGACATGGCGATGGCAGTGGACGTGGCGGTGGCAATGGTGGCGGCGACAGTTGAGGTGGCGGTGTAGTGATGGCGGTGGTGGTGGCGGTGGTGGTGAGGGCGACGGTGGGGTGGTGACGACGACGGTCGTGCTGGTGGCGGTTGCGGGGGCGGGGGCGATGGTGATGGTGACGGCTGCGACAGTGGTGGCGGTGGTAATGACGAGAGTGACGGTGGCGATAAGGGTGGTGGCGGTGGTAGCGGCAGTGGTGGCAATGATGGCAGCGATGGTGGTGGTAGAGGTAGTGGTGAAGCAATTTCAAAAACTATTTTTTTCAAAATATTTATGAGAAATAATTTCTAAAAGTATATTTAAAAAGTCACTTCAAATACACACATAAATAATTTATTATTTGTAATACTTGTTATCGATCATAATTTGGTAAAAATATCTATCAAAGTGGTAAATCACCCATAAAAATAATAAATTTTATTATTATTAAATAACCCATAAATATTCTAAAAATAATCATTTAAATAATAAAATTTCTAGATACAATTTTTTTTTTTGTAAGGTAATGGAGTCATGTCCATACTACTTGAAGGTTCAATGGCGGTTTTAGTTAGTTTGGAGGGCCGGTAGGCATGGAGAATATTACTGCTCAGTGGGGCCCACAAAATTTGGCTCCTACCCAACAGTAAAATAATAGACGGATCCTCCGATTCTTTTCGGATAGTGAATATATGATCTAGGCTTGTGAAAGTTTAATACCATACGGCTAACCGATAAAAATTAAGTAAATTTTGGTGAAACTTTAACGAGTTTAAATGGTAAACAGGTTGATCCGTCAACTACATTTAATAAACGGATCGTGTTCAGAACAGTCATGTCAATCCGTTTAAATAAAATTAATATAATAATAAATTAATAATTATTTTTAAAAAACTAAGCAAATTTTTTTTAGTGACAATCATAGAAAATATAAATAAATTATTTTTAGTGACAACCATAGAATTTTTTTTTTAATTTAGTGATAGCCACAAAAAATTTAATAATAAATTAATTATAAATTAAAACTAAATAGGTTAAACTAGTTGTGTCATATTACTCGTTTATTAAACGGTTCATGTTCATGTTATTGAGGTTTTTTACTATTTTATTAAACATGTCATGTATGAATTTACATATTTTTTACCCATCATCCGTTTAATCCGATACATAAAAATTGTCTCAAATTTAAATTTAAATGACTATTTTATTTTTAAAAATTAAAAACAGTCTGAATTTGTGGATATGGACTGATCATCACCGTTAAAAAAAATTGACGAATTCTTCAATTGTTTTATAATTAGAGACAAGCATAACTTGTATTTAAAGCATAACCACAAATTGTGTAGGTATAAGTCCGGAAATCTATATATCTCTATAAAGCACTAATTTTTCGAGAAGAGAGAACTTAGGAAGTTTTCTCTCATATATTTTTTTATAATTTTTTAAGTTATTACATTAGAAATAAACGTCTTTATTTCTCCATAAATTCGTAAATCTATATATCTATATAAAACACTCAATTTTTGAGAAGAGCGAACTTAGGAAGCTTTTTTCTCTCATATTTTTTTTAATTTTTTTAAAATTTAAAACTATTACATTAGAAATAAACAACTTTCTCCGATCACAACCTACCATGTATTTTTTAAAAGGCTTTCTTTGATAACAATCTACCACGTGTCCTTTAAAAGGCTTTCTACGATCGTAATTTACTCCTACGCTCCCACCAACTTGATGATGTATACATTGATATTATACAAAATCAACAGTCGAGTATATCAAGAGACACAATTTATGAGCAGTAAATAGACAATCAATGACAAAACAATAAATAAGAGAATCAACACAGAGATTTATAGTGGTTCGATCGGGTGGCCTACTCTACTTTTGGGAACGGCAACGGTGGCCGAAAATTTTTATTGATGAATAATGTCATCGAGAGAGTAACTCCAGGAATATTACAATGCTTTTAAGAGAGAGAGAGAGAGAGAGAGCAATGTGTGTAGGGAGGTGTAGTATGTGTAAAGATCTCAAGGTATAGAGGCTTCAAGGTCATAGAGATGTCCAGGTTGTAAGGTCATGCTCTTTATGTGTAGAGGACTTATATTATATAGGTATGGTGAGACGGTAACGTGAGGGAGAGAACTTCTACTATTTTGATAAGTACAATTATGGTAGGATTATATCTCTGTGTGTATCCCGATATTCTCTCCCTCATTCCTATTCCGTCGGGAGGAGGATCCTAAGCTGGACCTCCTGAGTTGAGTTGGACCTTTGAGCTGGGTTGGACTTGGTCTTAACCTTGAACTTTGAGTTGGAATATACTTGGACTAGTCATTAAAGTCGAAAGGATGGAGGAAGACCAAGGGCACCCTTGGGCGGCGCCTGGCTCGAGTGACCCCCTGGGCGGCGCCCCCTTGTTGCCTATATTGGGGCGTTGGCCTCTTGGTGCTTTGGGCGTTGGCTTCCTTGGTTCCTTTTGGACTCCCTCCTGATGGGTTGACCCAGCTCCCTTTGGGCTTCGATGACTTGGGCTCTTTTCTGAGCTCTCTCAGCTCATTTTTATCGGGTCTGACCCAATAATTTCAAGCTCATCATTTGACCCTCATGCCCCAAGCCTCTGATTTTTTGCGAGAGAAAAGAGTTGAGGGCATGTGCTTCGTCTTTGCTTTAGTGAGTAACACTTTCTTTCTTTCCACGGCGCTTTTTCATCTTTAGGGACTCACTGAATTTATAGATATCAAACATAAAAAATATTTTTTTTCTCCTTTGGGCACTGGCCTCCCTTGTGCTTTTCTCCCCCTTTTTTTTTTTTCTTTCTTTACTTCTTGTTGGGCGCCGCCCTTTTCCCCTACCTTTTTTTTTTGTTGGGTGCTAGCCCTTCTCCTTTG